CCTGCTCGCGCTCCGCGGCGGCCACACTCGCGCCCGCCCGCCCGCTCACTCACACAGAGACACACACACAGACACACACACACACACACACTCGCACACATACACACACTCGCACACATACACACACACACACACAAAGCCTAGTGCCGCCGCGCGCCCAGGGCCCAGTGCGCAAGCGCCGGGCGGCAGCTGCACCGAGCAGGGGGAGCAGCGCCGCCGCGGCCGCCGGTAGTGCGGCCTCCGGACGCCGCTGCCGCCGCGGGGCAGCGCCGCAAGCCTCTCCGCCCACCCGGGGGAGGCGCCCGCGACCCCCCGCTCCCCGCGGAGGCGGCGAGGGGCACCCGGCGGCCCCCGGCTCCGGGCACGCGGAGGGGAGGCGGGCCGGCGGACGTGCGCGCGGACACTTACTCGGAGGCCGCAGGTGCCGGGGGGGTCCCCGAGAGAGGGCGGGCCGGCGAGGCGGCCGGCCGTGGAAGGAGCTCATTCCTGGGGAGCCAGCGCGGCAGCCCATCCGCTGCCCCTGGTGTGTGGCAGCGTCTGCAGTAATGGAAGTTTCCTGTGGGGCTCCCGACTTCTCCGAGTTGAAGGCGCCGATTCGGGACGCGAGGTGCTCTTGGAAAGAGTTGAGAAACGCGGACCTCTGCTGACCCCCTGCCCGGTTTAAATACGCGAGCTAGGACGTCGCTTCCCTATCCTTCGTCATTTTGGAAAACGAGAGTGGGAGGAAAGGTGCCTGGGGTGACCACTAGAGACATCCGACCTTGCTTATGAAACAGCTTTCGGCGCAGGAAAAGCTCGATGATTATTTATCAGTATTTCAACAGGGGCTCTTAGACCTTTCCTCCTAGTGATAAGTGGCCCTCGCCATAAATAAGGTGAGGGGGCCCACGCTGGGGTTTCTGTTCGAGAACCACGAGTTGAGTTTAAGCCACTCCTGATGTAAGTCCCAGGCTCAGCCCAGGTGCTGCCACCTCACAGATGACCCTGGCAGGTAAAATGGACTGGCCAGCGACAAGGAGGACTTCTGGGCTGGTTTCTTCCCCGTGGTGCCATAGGACAGCTCCGCACGAATCTACAATTACCAGGATAAGCCAGGGGCCTCAACCTTATGTTCAGCTGCAGCTAAATTATCTTCACCAGAGCCAATTCGTGCCCAGGTGGATGCTGGGGAAAAAGAATGACCCCGTTAGCAAGCCCAGTGCCTTGGAGATCAACTAACCGAACATCAGTCATTTTACATGGAGGGAAACTGAGTCCCAGGGAAGTTCAAGGACACAGCCATAAGCTAGATGTTTGTCTTCCACTCATTCTAAAACCAAGCCCTTTCCCCTGAGGTTTTGGTTTGGGGGAGAAAAGCTTCTGGCGATACGGAGTGGAAGCTGCACTGCAGGCCTTTTCCTATGCATGTCCTTTTACCATCCCAAAACCCAAGTTCCTGATGTGAGGATTATATGGGAAAACATGTAACAGTGGGTCATAAAACAGCAGTCTCATACCATTGGCCCTCTGACTTACCTGGCCAGCAGATACATGCTTAAGGTTACAGAGAACTTTTTAAAGCACATATTTGAATTAAAAATGGGAAGATATATTTAAAAATCCAAGTATTGAATGATGAATGGATACACAATAGAATATATACAATATATTGTATGAATAGAATGTATATTCTATACAATAGAATATTATTCAGCCATTAAAAAGGAATAAAGTACTGATACATGCCATGGCATGGATGAACTTTGAAAACATCCTAAGTAAAAGAAGCCAGTCACAAAAAGACACATATTTTATGATTCCACTTATATGAGTTATCTAGACTAGGCAAATCCCTAGAGACAGAAACCAGAGGGACTGTGGGGAGGGGGGAATGGGGAGTGACTTCAAATGGGTACAGGTTTTCCTTTTGGGGTGATAAAAAAGTTCTGAAAGTAGGTAGTGGTGATGGTTGCACAACATTGTGAATGTGCTTTCTGTCGCTGAATTGCACACTTTAAAATTGTTACAGTGGTCAGTTTTACATTATGTGTATTTTGCCACAATAAAAAGAAATCCAAATATCCAGCTTCTCTAGAGATAGCAGAAGACCTGCAAACTGGGCCCCAAGTGCCACATGGCAACAATCAGCTGGAGCTGAGAAGCCCTGTGCCCCTCAGATAAAGCTCACTAGGTCACCAATGTGTCACCCAGTCACTGTACTCATTTGTGTTACCACATGGCCCCTGAAGGTGTTTATTTTTGATCTCCGATTAAACTATAAAGCTCTCTACAAATGTTCTTTATAAATCTAGTACGGCACTTTTTATAGTTTCCTGTCCCCTGCGGATATTTTTACACTTCTTTCTTTCAACAAAGCACACTTGTTTTATAGTCTGTGTCTGATCATTCTGATATTTGAAGTATCTGAGAGTCTGTTTCTGCTGGTTCTTACTCATGGTGTCCTATTTCTCTGTGATCTGTCTGGTTCTCCTTGACCTTGCTGGACATTGTATTTTACAATTTATTTATAGGGATAATCTGAGGCCTAGAATGAAGTTACCTTCCTCTCGAGTTGCTTTACATTTGCTCTGCCAGACTCCTGAGGGCACTGCTAGTGCAGGATGACCAACATCCAGGTTCAGGGCTCGTGGGTCCCTGGACCCCCAGGTGATGCCAATATAGGTTGCCAAAGTGAGTGAGACTGATTTGCTTATTGTACCCAGGGTGGGGTCAGTGATGTGCTGCAGCTGACTGGCAAGCCTGTGCTTCCCAACTCTGTTCAGTGACCTCCTATCAATAGTTCTAAATCAGCCATGGCAGAGGATTTACACTATGGAAATTGGCAAATGCTATAATACATCAGGACCCTTTCCCAACCCCACCAAGAGCTGGTGATAAGCATTTACCAGCACACCACTGGGCAAGGTCTCATCTCCCACCCAGTGTGGACCCTGGACTTTGATTTCCGACCTCTTGCCTCAAAGAAACCATTCACACTGAAGTTCAAATATGCCAGACTTGACAAATAATCTACGGGGTTCGAGCGGCTTCCTTGCTGGATTAGCTGTCAGGGTTCTCTTTTTCCTTCAGTTTCACCTATTCCTTACTATCTTGTCAGCATGTGGTGGCTTTTAGGATTTTTTAAAATATGTGTTCTAGCATATGTTCTAGCATTTTTAGTTGCTTTCAGCTTGAGCGTTAGTCTGAATAACTAGTTACCGGAGACTGGAAGTCAAGCTCTCTCTGAATGTTTGTGATAATCTTAGACATGTTAAAGGAGTGATCGTGGGGTTCCAGAGGTGAGTTACTTAGTCATGCCTTGTGTCTTGACCTAACTGTGCCTCATCTGTAAAATGGGGATGAAAATAAGACCTGCCTCACAGAGTTATGTGAATTAAAAACAGTATTTGTCAGGGAAAGTGGGGGGAGGGATAAATTAGGAGTTTGGGATTAACATATACACACTACTATATATAAAATAGATAACCAACAAGTACCTACTGTATAGCACAGGGAACTATACTCAATATTTTGTAATAACCTATAAGGGAAAAGAATCTGAAAAAGAATACATATATATGTATAACTGAATCACTTTGCTGTACACCTGAAACTAATGCGACATTGTCAATCAACTACACTTCAATTAAAAACAACAACAGGGCTTCCCTGGTGGCGCAGTGGTTGAGAGTCCGCCTGCCGATGCAGGGGACGCGGGTTCGTGCCCCGGTCCGGGAAGATCCCACATGCCGCGGAGCGGCTGGGCCCGTGAGCCATGGCCGCTGAGCCTGTGCATCCGGAGCCTGTGCTCCGCAGCAGGAGAGGCCACAAGAGCAAGAGGCCCGCGTACTGCAAAAAAAAAAAAAAAAAAAACCAACAACAACAATAACAAAAAACAAAACAGTATTTGTCAAGAATTTAGAACAGCACTTGGCACACAGTAACTGCTAGATACCAACAGACCTGGATGATCTTTGCATCAGTATGCCCCACACTGGGGTTTGAAGTCACACTACTCTTCCTAGGCTGGTAAATTCAACCCTTACGTCACTCCTCCTCCAGGATGAAGGCTCATTCACCATGGGGTGGGAGGTGTGGGGAGGGGAAAGATAACCCTGGAACAGAGATGGAGATGGGTGATTGTGAGGAAAATGCAGGCCCGGCCCTGGCGCTTCTGGGCACCTTGGTCCTTGCCTAGCAACTTGCGACCGAGCGCTGTTTTCATAAACAGAGGTGCTTTGGTGTTTGGGGAGCAGGTCGTTTAGCAAGGCCCAGCCAAGAGGGAAAACTATGAAGGGAACACTCCAACCACAGAATGAAATACAGTCCCCTTACTCGGAGACAGGAACAGAAAGGATGAGCTGAAGCCTCCCTCCTTTCACAGAAAAGGATGCTACTGGGACATCCCTGGTGGCCCAGTGGGTAAGACTCTGCGCTCCCAATGCAGGGGGCCCGGGTTCGATCCTTGTTCAGGGAACTAGATCCCGCATGCGTGCCGCAACTAAGAAGTCCGCATGCCACAACAAAGATGCCACGTGCCGCAACGAAGATACCACATGCTGCAACTAAGACCCAGTGCAGCCTACATAAATAAATTAATTTAATTAAATTAAATTAAATAAAAGGGACGCTACCATCTGGTCACACAGCCAGTTAGCAGAGTTCTGGCCAGAGCCCCGCTCTCCTGACTGTGTCTCTGGACCGGTGCTCCCCACTCCACAGTCATCAGGATGTGGACAGTTGTAAATCAGCCCTGTGGGAGTGCTCTCAGGACCCTCCTGTCCCTCCCCCACCCAGAGAGGACGGGTAAATATATACGAGCACACCACTGGTGGAGCCCAACGGGATCCCGAATTATCGTAGGGAACGTCTCCCCCACAATGTGGGCCTGATGATGAATTTCAGATAGACTGGGGAGCCATTAAAAAAATTTTCTTTGATAAATCAAATACTCCAATTTGCTTCTCTGCCTACTTTTTCTTGCCTATAATTACAGCTCTAAAAATGGTCACCAGCTCCATTACTAATAGACTAGCAAGTTGTATATCCATCCACGCAGCCACTGGCTTGCCTAAAAGTTGGGCCACTTGAGGCCATATAGAAACAAAGAGATAGTGGATATAAAGTGCTTCAAGAGACAGATGTGTTCAGAGGTGAGACGGTGTAACGCAGGCTCTTCCAACAATGAATGATTAAACACAGAAGTCCGGTCATGACCCAGTGACCCGGAGCAGAGTTGGAATGCATCCACCAATGTGCTTGGTGAGCTCTTAGGTCAGAAATCCAGGAGGCTGCCCGAATGTCTTCTCTCGCTCCCACGTGTGCAGTCATTTTGGCCGCCCAGCATCTGAATACCCTTCCTAGTTCTGGGTGAGCCTTTGTGGGTGGAGGCTGCCCCCAACTACAGAAGCTAGAGGGGGCTTGTCCCTCTTTTCCCCAGGGGGTTAGGTCCTGGGCATGGGTCCCAACCTTACCCAGGTGGATGGTCTAGTAGGTTGATTTTCTTTTTTATTGAGGTATAGTTGATTTACAATATAATATGTTTGAGGAAGATAATATAGTGACTGGTTCCTTTTTCTTCGCATCCTTGCCAACATTTGTTATTTGTGGTCTTTTTGATGACGGCCATCCTG